CAGTTCCTCAGGGTGGTGGAAGCCAGAGCAGTACAGGTGAAAAAGACGGCGCTTGTCCTCGAGGTGGTCAGTATGCTGCCAGAGTATGCTGTGTGTGTCTCTCCTCGGCAATGAAGTACATCCGGGTGGAGTTAGTGGCCGGCATTGTTTACCCAGACCAACACCCTTTCTTTCTGCAGGCAAGTTTAGTCAATAGTCAATGTACGGAGTACTGCCTGGAGTCTGTCAGAGTCATGGAGCCTGTGCCAGAGTGTGCATGACACGTGAGGACACATCTGCTCCCAGTGGTCACAGGCCGGAATGAGGAGCATGCGCTGTTCCTCCCCAGTGTGTCAGGGGGTGGGGCATGTGCAAGATACCCATGGCAGTACCCCAGGATAAGAAGGCCTCGTTCAAGGATAATGACTAGATTATTGAGCGCATCCGTGCAGCTGTACCCGGAATTTCTCTCTTGACAGAGCAACTGATATGAGGAATGAGATATTTTCATGGTATATTTGAATGGGATGACATTTTTGTTTTCATATTCTTTAATTAAAAATTTGAGACATAAGAAGTAATGGGTTTCATTATGCCATCTTCACACATATGTCACTTTGTCATCATTCATCCCCTTCCTCCATTATCTCCCTAGGTTCCCTTGTTCCCTCTTGCTGGCTCCCTTCCTTTCTTCAAATAGTTGGTTTTTTTATGTTTTTATGTCATATGAATTCCACTACCCTCTCTTTCACCTCTTCCTTTAGGAGTTCTTCCTCCTTTCTCAAGGTGGCCTTTCAACACACACACACACACACACACACACACACACACACACACTTAAATTTAGCTACTGCGTATGAGAGAAAATAGGTAGTATTTTTGAGTCTAGTTTATTTCACTTAACATAATGATTTCCACCCATCTGTTTTCCTGCAAATGTCATGATTTCGTTTTTCTTTAGAACTGAAGGAAGTTCTTTGTAAATATGTACCACATTTTCTTTATTCATAGACACTGAGGCCAGTCCTCCTTCTCAGCTATTGTGGACAGTGGATACGTAGAGTGTAGCTGAGCCGTGTTGCAGTTCTGGTCTTAATTTATTGAGGAACCTCCGAGCTGCTCCTGAAGTGACTGCACTAGCTTACACATCCACCAGCAGTGGATGAGGATCCCGCCTCCCCCATCCTTGCCAGCATTTGTTGTCATTTTCACAATAGCCATTCTGACTGGGCTGAAATTACTTTTAATCTGCATTTCACCGATGGCCAAGAGTGCTGAAGACTTTTGAAGTATTTATTTGTTCTTTGTGTTTATTCTTTTGAAAACTGTCATTAAGTTCAGTAGTCTGTTGATTTGAGTTTTTTTGCCGCCGACATTTCGCAGTATTGGTTTCTTGTCTGGTGTGTAATTGGTGGAGATTTTTTCCCAGCAGTAATCTACCTTGTTAGTAAAGTGGTTCTCAACCTGTGGGTCATGACCCATTTGGGGGTTGCATATCGGATATCCTGCATTTCAGATATTCGCAGTAACATAATTACAGCTATGAAATAGCAACAAAATAATTGTATGCTTGCAGGTCACCACAACGTGAGAAATTGTATTAGAGGATTTAAACATTAGGAAGATTGAGAACCATTGTTCTGCAGATATATTTTTAGTTCATTTGATCTATGATGTTTTCTGAAGTGTCTTCATTGGTTTTAAAGATTTTTGCTTTGTTTGAATGATCTATGCAAAAATGAGAGTGGGTTATGAAATCATTCACTTGGGAGGATGAGTCAGGGGGATTGCTGAGTTTGAGGCCAGTCTGGTTTACAAAGTGAGTTCTAGTTAGGCTTTAGAATGAAACTTTGCCAAAAAAGAAAGAATAAATGTATAAATAGCAAATGAACGAGACAAGGGAAACTAAAGAGGAAGCAAGGTAAACAAGCAACAGGTGAAAGGCTGGAGAAGAATGGCGTAGAGGGAGATAAAGAGCAGGAAATGCTAAAAAATTACAAAGGACAAAACAAAAAACTCCTAATGAGAACATTTGAAAGCAAAATTAGATAACTATAAGGAGGAGAACAATTCCTAACAGTTCATAACTGTCTGTAACTCCAGTTTCAGGGCATCCAGTGCTCTCTTCTGGCCTCTACAGGCACCAGATAGGCATGTGATACATACACACATGCAGACAAAACACTCATATAATTAAAATAAAACAATCTGCTCTTAAACACTAAAGCTATACAATGAAGGGGCTGGAGAGATGGCTCAGTGAACCACTGGCTGCTTTTGCAGAAGACCTGATTTTGGCACCCAGCATCCACTTGCAGGCTCATAACCATCTGTAACTCCAATTCCAAGGTATCTGACACCTTTTTTCTGACCTTCACAGGCACCAGGAAGACACGTGATGCGCATTGTACATGCAGGTAAACATTCATACACACGAATAAGTCAAAACACTTAGACATGATAAAGTAAAAATACTACTAAACTATAGGAGGTTTTGTTTGGTTTTTAAAGTGAAATGTCAGATTAGAGTTTCATTTTGGCTGCTCAAAAATTGGAGGCTGTATTTTTCTGCATGGGCAGGTAGGGACTGTCATCTGGCCTGGGGGTGGGGGTCTCTTACTCTCTTGTGGTTTATGTCCGCGTTGGGCAAGTGCCCAATGTCTGCTCAAGTGGTCTTCATTTAAAAGGTTCTCTTCTTTCTCTATGAGGGGCCTCTGCTGGCCTCACTTGGCTTCGTGGGCTGCTGACTGTGCAGGTTTTCCCACCCTCCTAAGTCTCTCCAGACTGGACCGCCACGGAGGCAAAGTGCCATGGTAACCAACTGGAGCACTGAGGCAGCAGAGGCCCTCTCTTCACATTTGAAAGTCCTCCTAAGTGTTAGTTATCCTGCTGGAGAGATGCACTTCGTAGTTCTTGGGTTCTACAGCAGCGAATGCAAATAGGTGGCCCCAGAGGTTGATTGATCCTACTGACCTCAGCCTTGGGCCTCGCTATTAAACTCCAGTGTTTCTCTAAGTGAATAAGATCTGCTCTTGGCTACAGAAAACAGCAGGGTTTTGTACTTCATTGTCCAAGTTGAGCCTTCTAGGAGTCTACACTTTTCTGCTAATGGATCTGAGACTCATTGTTTCAGAATATTTGTTTACACTGTGAAAATGAGTTTATTCCAAGGTGCCTTCTGATTAGTTTAATAAAGATCTGAGTGGCCAATAGCTAGGGAGAAAAGAGGCAGAGCTTAAGGAGAAAGAGAAGACTCTGGGAAGAATAAAGGCAGAAACATTAGGAGACATAGAACAAACAGAATGTGTAGGAGGAGAGGTAATAGCCACAAGCCATGTGGCAGAATGCTGATTAATATAAATGGGTTAATTTAAATCATAAGAGGTAGTTAGAAACAAGCCTAAGCTATAGGACAAGCTTTCATAGTTAATAAGAACTGATGGGACAGAGGAAGACTCATTAAATCTCATGCCATGTCCTGAGGGCATGACTTCCTGTCTCTTGTCACCAGAACTAGCTGGCTTATATTTTGTATGATATTTCTTCTGGGAAACTATTCTGGCCAGTTTTAAGTCAATTTGACATACACTATAGTCATCAGAAGGAGCCTCAGATGAGAAAATGCCTCCATAAGATTGAGCTGTAGACAAGCCTACAAGGGACATTTTATTAATTAGTGATTGCTTGGGGAGGGCCCAAGCTCATTGTGGGTAGTTCTGTCTCTGGGTTGGTTTTCCTGGTTTCTATAAGAAAGTAGGCTGAGCAAGACATGAAGAAAAAGTCATTAAGCAGCATCCCTTCATGGCCTCTGGGTCAGTTCCTGCCTCCAGGTTCCTGCCCTGCTTGAGTTCCTGACATCTCATTAGAAATGTGTTATATGAAACTGGGAGTAAAACAGACCCTTTCTTTCCCAAGTTGCTTCTGGTCATGGTGTTTCATAACAGCAATAGTAAGCCTAATTAGAACAGAAGCCAAATGTTGGAGTTGTGTTCCGCTTAGATTCCTTTCAACGTGTTGTCTTTTTCTGAGCACATTCTAGCTATTTTATCACTGCTGTTGTGACTTTCTCAAGCTCTTGTTCTCAAGTTCAAGTTCTCTTTGAAGCAGACTCTAATCTTATATTAACTCTTCTCCTTAACTGAGTTAGATATCTTACTTTAACTGCTGAATCCCAAAGCCAACTGGTGTTTGAAATGGACAGTGGCAGATTCTCTCTAATCCATGTAAAAAAGTTTCATTATAGAATTGTAGTCTGAGTGTCTTACAGATGTACTGCTGGGGGAGAAGTGTTGCACATAATATTTTGTAGTTATGGACCAGCATGCTGCACTACCACCTTCTGGGCAAGATGTGCCCATGGGTACAATAGTAGCATGAGCATTACTGGTGCAACCAACTATCTTCTGGTTGGATTTAAGGCCCATAGGCAGAAACTCATGCTTGGTACTGCAAGTCAGAGTCAGGGGAGGCAAAAGATCCCATGGCGAAAGCTAGTGCTATTGTTTTCAGCAGCCGTGATGTGTCTGCTAAATTGCCTTCTAGACATTTATTTGCAAGCTAGCTTTATGTTGCTGCCAACCTTGGTCAGCTATGGGCAACAGTTATTGTGGAAACTCATAACTGGTCAAACTGCTGAGAATACATGATTGTTGCTGTGGCCCAAGGCTTAACGTTAAATAGAAGGAAATTATCTATCTATCTATCTATCTATCTATCTATCTATCTATCTATCTATCTATCTTTGGTTTCTCGGGACAGGGTTTCTCTGTGTAACAGCTCTGGCTTTTCTGGAACTAGCTCTTGTAGACCAGGCTGGTCTTAATCTATCACAGAGATCCATCTGCCTCTGCCTCCCAAGTGCTGGGATTAAGGGCTTGTACCACCAATGCCCAGCTATAATTATGCATTTATATCACCCCCACCAAGGCTCAGAGAAACTCAAACCTACTTTTATGTGGTAAAAGGTAAACACTCTCATAATTTCATTTGGCCTTCATTGGAGAAAAGGAAACTAACAAAACTATTTTATTTTTATTTATTCATAGTAACAAAAACCAGAAATTATAAAAACAAATTAAATGAAATATGGAAGCACACTAAATACAAATACATTTTCATAACCACATGGGCAACAGAAATCTGTTGGAACTATTTCCTGAAGTTTAACTTTATTTAGATCATAGGTATAACCAAGGAATTCAGACTGTTCACATGGACTTGGTTACAGATGGAGGAGCCTGCTTTTCCAAGACTGGTACTAGTATCCAGAGTCCTGGAATATTTATATGGGAAGACTTCCCTGGGCTCTGAATCTTAAGAGACACTGCTGTTTATTAAAAACAACAACAAAACAGAAAGCCCAGGGAGCTTACAGTCCTGGCCTATAGGCTTCTGGAGGACTGTAGAAACTGAACTTGATCCAATCCTGCTTGTTGGTCCCATGCAAAACTCTACCTAAGGCTCCCCAAACTAGGCTACTTAGCAGCTTCTCATGAATGGTTTACGCATCACATGAATCTATGGCGGTACAGACAACAGCGACCTTGCTCACACAGAAGTAGCGGAATTCAAGAGGAATGTGGTCTTGCCCTCTTGAGTGATGGGATAGTCTTGATTGAAAACCACTGTTCTAAAGATGACCAGTGAACAGACACTGTAGCTCTTTGCTTTGAGCAACATGATATTCCTGCTCTCTCCCATCATGGCCATGGACTGGCAAAACTTTTGATTAAGGTATGCTGCTGTGAGCTCTCCAAAGCACTTGGAGAGGGTGTTGAAATCTGAACTGCACAAGGGGTTCAAGAGTTTTCTAATGAGATGGGACATAAAAGCTCAGAACACTCAGCAAAGTGGAGTTGTCTCCTTTAAATGAGAACAGGGAAAACTATTTAGGAGGAATTCCATTTCTGTCCCAACTTTCCACATTTGCCTATGCAGGAAAATCTCAATAATTTATTTGGAGGGTCTACAGTTTGAGTTTTGCAAATGAGATAAGGTTTTGATATTTTTTGTGATGTTAAATGCACATGAAACAAGGCAGGAAGGGAGCTAAGAATCTGAGGTTCAAAGAAAGAACTGACTTGCAGTCTTCATTTTATACTGCTTTCAAAGCTGGAAACTGCTTTCTTCATCTGTATGGGGAAATCTGACTCCAACCAGAGACTGCACTCATGTGTACCAAGTTGAGAAGGTTGGAGGTTGTCCTTCATGCTCTCTTCCTGGGTAGACTGACCCGTGAAGCCCTCACCCCAGCCACCTGACAGGATCATTTAGACCAAGGCAAAACCTGGCCATGCTGTTCCTGGCTGTCTTTTCTTGCTGTATGGTTTCATCTATCCTAAGGAGAGAAGGCAGAGTCACAGGACCCTAGCTTCCTCTGGGCCAGTTACCTAAACCACAAACTGTATCATTGATTAAATCCCAAGATGCATTCTTGCCACTTTACTAAGGATATTGGAACCTAGAGCAGGAGCAGACAGGGCCAGGGTTGCCCTGCCAGTTAGCCACAGATTACTATGTGTTGGCAGGCTGGGATAACCTGGGTTCCCGTCCTTTGTAAAACAAATGAACTCTTTGGATTTCAATAATTGCCTATTTAGATGCTTCTTCCTGTGGCTTTTGTCTGAAGCATCTTACACTTCTTGGCATGTAGCTGACCTTCTAGAAGCCCGGGGTGGGGTGATGCGGCTCTGGCTTGCATCTAGTCTAGTAAGGGGCCATCTATGTTATAGAAAAGCTCCCAAACCCCTTTCACCTCTGAAATAGTAGGACTACTGAAAAAAATAATTACAAAAGCTTAATATCTAGACAAGAAAATGAAATACTAAAAAGTGACAATAATATAATGATAATAATTGAGGAATGAAATCAGCTTGCAAAAAAAAGTCTTTTACAGAGAAATAGCACCTTTGGTTAAAAAAAGTGTATTTTAAAAATTTGGTTAGGTCTCTATGGCGCTTGAAGTACATAAGTATCTGCATCATTTAAACACAGCCTCCTAGAAAGTCCATCTAAATCTGAGGGACACAGGTCACTAGTGGGATGGCTGTGTATTCAGGTGATTGTTGGGACTGAGGGGAAGCAGATATGCTGCAGGTCTCTCATGCTGACCCGGAGTGACAAGGGTCAATGCGGCAGGATTCCTCTGCACAGAGCTCCCCATTCTTCCTCCAGCAGAGCCAGCTCAGCCCTCCCCCCAACATCACATGCTGTCCCTGCAGCCTCCGTAAAGCTGCTGTGACCCCTGAAAGGATTTGTTTGGACCCAGGTCTGCTCCTCTGTCAGCATGATGCAGTTTCCTTACTTGCCTCCAGCCCCAAAGTGCCCTTTAGTTTCTCTTAAAGCACTCCTGAAAATGAAGGTTGGGGCCTCCCCCTGCTAACCAGCCACCCTCATTTCCTTCATTGCAAAACTAACAAAATAATATTCATTGCCAGACAAGCAAATACTGGTGGTTTGGTGATCACAGCAGACGCTCGTGAATACTGGACTCAGCGCTGAAGAGGAGGAGGCGCTGGTCTCCAGACATGGTGCTATGTGCTTCTTGTTAGATTTCTTTGATGTTTACCTTCTTGGTCTTTTCAGCTGTTTCCTTTGAGATGGAAGAGGAAATAATCATTGTACAAATACGAAGAAGTTGACGGTATTTATCCAGGCCCCCAGACTTATAGCATCAATAGACACATGATTATGCTAGATTTTAGTTGTTTACTTGTACGGCTCCTTCTTGTTTGATAAACAACACGAGGCTATGTCCACTGATATAGCCTATAGCCTATCAGTCTACTGATATAGAGCTGGCTCTATATGAACATTTTATGAAATAAGCAAACCATATTATTGTCCCACAGTTTTAATGATAAAGGATACTAAAGGGAAAATATTCTGAATCCATGTCCTACAAAATTACTAAAATGAATAAGTCCCAGAGGCAGACCGTTTGGGCTTGAATTTGGCTGTTCAGCTTTCCTAGTGTCCTTGGGAGTATTCTAAAATCTATATTTAAATGTCTTCAACTGTAACAAGAGGGCACACTGTACCAGCTCTTACAACAGCACCCGACACATTCTTCCAAAGAAGATGTACACAAAGCCAATAAGGACACAACACCATTAGACACTAGAAGAATGCACATGAAAATGTAATGAGCTACTACTACACATCCAGTAGGTCAGATGAAACAGAGAATAACAGTAACAAATGTTAGCATGGATGGGAAGAAAATGGAGACCTGTTGGGGAGGGTGTACAATAAATGGTGTTTGGAAAAAATGTTTGGCAATCAATCCCCTGGGGATTAAACACAGCATTATTTTATGTCCTCAATTCGATTCCTAAACATAAGGGGAGTGAAAACATAGTCCACACAGGAAGTTGCACAGTAAAACAGCAGCATCCTTCATCGAAGCCAGAAGTCACCTAAATATCCATCAACTACTGACTACATACACAGAATTTCATATATGTAGACTGGCACTCACATAAAGAGGAATGCAGTAGGTTCACGCCTCAAGCATGAACCTGAAAAGCATGATGCCAAGTGTAAGAAGTCAGACAGAAAAGGAGCATTCTATATGATATGCCCACACCAGGCACATCTACAGTCAGAAAATAGGTTAGCAGTTGCCAAGGGCAGAGGGAAAAGAAATAAGAAAGAAGAGTTTCTTTGGGGTATGTTAAAACACTCTGGAACTAGACCGTGAGGAATGCCAACAATCTTAGGAATACTCTGAAAGTCACTCACTTGCATAATTGCTTATTTTAAAGGGGTGAACTTTATGACATGTGAATCAACCTCAATTTAAGAACAGACCCCAAGAAATTGCTGATTACATTAGCTGGCATCTACTAGGCAAGCTTGGTGTTCCATGTCCAGCTGCCTTGTACTGAATATGTTGCAGTGAACACTGGCTTGACTTCTCATGGCCTACACCTGCATCTCCTCGGAACTTTCTCTGTCTTAGGAGTCTACTATGTTCACACATGTCTGAGGACAGAAATGCTAAGAACTGTTTCCTGGTAGCAGCTCTCAGATGCTGACTGATGGAAGGTTAGGAGAGACACCCCAGCCAATCCCACCTTCAGCAACTCCTTCAGGGACCACAGTTTAGTAGTATAGGCATGGTAGCATCTTCTGAAATCTACTGTGTTAAATGAAGTGTATTTTGTTTCCCTCATCTCCTGGGGCATGGACAGCTTCTGAGTGGTATTAAGAGCCTGGCAGCAACAGTGACATTTGAACCAGCCCCGTGGCTGCTTACCTGGTGCTTCTGGAGTTCCTGGGCATATCTGGTCATCTCCTCCTGTGTCTGGGTCTGGGCCCCCTTCTGAGTCTTTCCTGTAAGAAAAATTAAAGTTCAGAGCAGTGGAGGTGTGGTAAGCCGGGGAGGGCTACCTAACAGACTCTCCACTTAACCTGTGGAGGAGAGTTGAACATCCCACCTCTCTCTGAGCATCGAGTCATTCAGAGTAATACAAATAAGCAGTCTAGCCTATGCCCTGACTTCTGATCCTGCTGTTCTCTTTAACTCACAAGACAAGCTAGTCCTACAGAAAAGCAATGGTGACCACCCAAGTCCTGCTCAAAACACTCCTGGGGCAGTGATTCTCAGCATTTCCCACACACTCACAATGTCCCAGAGAACATTTGCAAATGTAATTTCTGGTTCAGGATGCAGTTGGTTGGCAGAGTGCTTGCCCAGCATACAAACCAGGATCCCCACCCCCATGCTCAACCCCCAGAACCGTAAATAGACAAATAAAATAAACTCAAGTTGTCTGGCTTTCACCTATAGAAATTTTGATATAATTGATTGGGGCGGGTGGTAGCTGGGCCCAGACGTTTTGCTTTTTGAGGGGTTCTGTACACCCAGGGTTGATAACCAGGATGTGTAGCAAACATTTGTCAAGTACAAAAAAAATTAGTAAAAACAAACAAACAAACAAGCAAATCCTAGCAAAGCAAAACAAAACAACAACAAAACCCCCAAACGACCAACCAAACAAAAAGCAAAAACCTTACACAGGTCCATAAGATGTTCTCTTTGTAGATTATAATCTAGAAGGTTTGGAAGGGTGCCTGGGAATCCATTTGCTGAACACAACACTTACCATTAGGAACAATAGACACTAGTATCAGTCATAGCCAGCTCCCGTGGCCCTGGCCCCTTCTGGTGTTATTTCAATGCCCTGTCAGTGCCTTTGAGATTTGTGATCTAAGATGACACTGCTAGTGTTCAGACACTGGCCTGAAGACGCCTTTTCAGTTTCCTCTTATGTCACAGCCTGTACACCAAGATGTGTTGAGGCCCCACAGACCGAACTTTCCTTAAGGAGGGCAATTAGTCCACAGCGTGGCTATGGAAACTGACATTATCTCATGGGAGTAAGGTGTTGTCTGATGCAATGTGATTGGCTTATTACTCAGATGTTTGTGTTTAGGGTTCCATAAGTCAGTGCACACTCACTCATGCATCTTAGAAATGGATGAGGAATACCTTAACAAGAGCAGCTCGATATATGGAAGGGAGTTTGGGAAGACAAATGGGGGGGTGCTTCTTGGGTGAGGCAGGCTGGGTCCCTACTTAAGGATGCCCTCTGATGGCTTCAGTACCTACAGGGTGGGTGTCTGGCTATCAGTTCCGGTGTCTTCTAGAAAATTCTTGTCCTTAAACTGCCTCTGATGCTTTCTCATCTGTCCCTACGGTTAGGTTGGCCATCTATTCTCTCACACTGAAGCAACTTGGACCTAGGAAGGTTGGTGAACCTATGGATAACACTGGCTTCCGCCTATACCGCTGGTGTTCTGGGCTCCATGGCTAGAGTGCTTCTTGGGTTTGATTGCTATCTCTCAGTGACCATCCTACTCAGTTCCCCTGAACATAATTTTAAGTACCAACTTTTTCTTGCCTCATTAACTTCTTAAAATATATCCTCGGGGTCACTCCTGCAGGTAGAACTTTTAAGTCTGGTTCTAACTGACATTTCTTTTTACACTCAGTGTGACTTCCGTTCTGGACCTGGCTCTAATACCCTTCTCTGATTTGCTTTCATCTGGCTCTTTGCCTCAGTCTGACTTTGATGTACGTTCCCTCTTGATCGCTGGCACCACTGTAGCTCAGGTCCCCGATGGGACATGAGTAGTTCCAATGTACTCTTTGACCTCTGCTCTGCCTCCCAAACTCCAACACCTGTATGTTCCCAACCCATCTTACCCCTGTCTCAATAGTCTTAATTTTTAACTAATTTATTTTTTACACTTTCCATTTACTTTTTTTTCTTGCCTGGTATGGCAAATTAAGGTGATTTTGACTTCTGATCATCTGACTCTTTTATATATAGTATTTCCTCAAGTGTCACAAGGACTAAGTTGGATAATATACAAAGACCATGGAAGAGCACTGGTACATATTTCTCACCGATCAATTTTTCTTTCATAATGGTTATTTCAGTCTGATAGAGACATTCATTGGTGCTTTGAGCCACCATTCTCTCTCATTTGACATCTCTGGAATGGTTTTCACACCTGATTCATCCAGAACAAGTGCTCCACCCAAAATGCTCCCCAGGGGGGCTGTGGGGACGCCACTTACTTCCAGTCCCTGGCCTTTCTGTTCCCCATCACACCCATGTCACCTTCTCTCACTCAAGTCACAGCTCTGCTCCCTCCTTCCGCCCTAAGCATGGCTCACCATCGCAAGTCATCGCAGTGCAGACCCAGTGTCCACAGGAACAGACACAGCGATTACAGTCTACCTCAGTCTCAGCTCCATCTGCGTATGTTTCGTCCTCCAGGGCACACTCTGTCGGATCATAAATAAAGGCAACAGTTGGGACGTGAGGGTAGAGCGTGGTGGTATCTTTGGTACAGTCTGAGCACCTACGTGTCCCCCTTCCCAGACAAGGACTGCCTTGTCTCTCATGGTCAAATGCTCCATAAACTCATGGCCTTAAACCCATCATGGAGCTGATGGGCTGATGACAGCCCAGTACCATGGATGGGGGCTAGTTCGGTATCTCTGGAGAATTCTACCGGTTATTTCTGACTTGCACCTTCCTTTCCCTGTAATCCTGCCCTCCCCAACAACACTCAGTTTCTAGACTAGACGTACTCTTCTCAGGAGGGTTGAAGGATGGGTTGAGGCACTTGAGGAACTCCTGGAAGTTGAGTTTCCAGTCGGCATTCTCATCAGACAGTTCAATGAGAGCATCAACACAGAGTCCTCTGAAAGAAAACACAAGAGAAGCGCCGTCAGCAAGGTGGTGGCTTCTTCCCTACAAAGGAACGAAGCACAGGGTCCCAGACACCTGGAGCCTCAGGCAAGATGACTGTTCACTGCAAACACTTCTCTCCTTTTTGGCCTGTCACCATTACCCAGTTACTCCTGTAACATTCAGCCTTCAGCTATTAGACTGGATATCACATCACGCAGGCTGTTCAAATGCTCCCCCAAGGACAACTAAAGTTTTGTGAACAGTTTTGCTCACCTTGATTAACAAATGCTCTCACTATTTGCACACCTTCCTCTAAATTGCCTCTTCCGGTGGTATGACAGCCACGTCAACCAGTCCAGAAAAACAAAAGCAGGAGATGATAGAGGACATGAAAAGGAAATATAGGACTTGAAAGAATATTACATTCAGTCAAGAACTACACCATCACCATTCTAAAAAGAGGTCTGTCAGAAGTTTTATAGAACCTTGGTTCCATCACTCCCTTTGTTGACTAAGACTTGGGCCCTGGCTCAGCTACTTCCTACTCAAATGTTCCTGAGCTAGTTATTCAGACTTTCTGAGTTTATTTTCTTACCTCTATAGGTAGGGGGAAAGTCCCTCCCTCACTGGGATGTTTTGAGGGTCAAACATCAGAATTATCAAATTGCCTAAATCCAGGTTACCAAAAGATGAGCGGTCCAGGACTATGTTTAGAAAGATTCACAGAAGCTGCACTTTGAACTTGTTTTGAACAAAAGGAGGCAACTTTCCCATGCTTAATTCTTCCTGATGTACTAGTACCATACCAGAAGGTTCTTTGTTTATTAATGTTTATTCTAAGAAAATACTAAAAGAAGAAGATATGCTTATAGCAATTAGGGAATTCTACATGAAACAGCACTAATCATCTTAAACACCAGGAATGAAATTGTTTTGGGTTTACCACTAGAGAATACATGAATACAGTTCTGTCAGAAGGTCAATGACAGAATATCAGTTGCCATACTCAGAAGCATCATGGGTATGGTGAGATCTTGATAATTTATTCTAAAATTACAGTCTTTTCTCCTTGCAAGTTCTGACCCCAAACAATAACAATGTTGATATCCCAGGTTTATAATGTTCACAGAATAGATGAGGAAGAGAAATCCTACTTTTCTACGCCTTTCACATTGGCACTGGACCTTCTTCTGCTGGTGGAAGGGGTTCAAACCCCTCTCTCAGGTAACCTTCCCTGGGGACCATATGGCTAGGTCCTCACTCCCCACCTGAGCAGTTTGTTTTTCTCCTGATCAGCATAAGTGGTGATGTTGATGGCTGTTTCGTTCTGCTCCACAAATTTCAGGAATTCACTGGAGTCCAGGTGAGAGTCACCATTATCAAAGTTCTAGAAGAGATGAAGAGATCTCTCAGGAGCGTTTAGGAAGTCCCGGTTTTTATTGGTATGCTCTCTGGCCTGACCCCTCAGCTCATCTTATTCTTAATACACCCCAACTCTGTCCTGACCTGGCCTCCCTATGGGCAGTGACTCAGGTCAATGGACACCCAAACTAGGGAGTGGTACCCCAAGATGAGCAGGTGGAAGAGCCCAAACAGAAGCCATCAGGGGGTTTCTTTCAGTATAGATCCTGCTCAGGAGGGCAGCCTGAACTGATGTCTGCATTCCCTAAGAATACCCTGTGACCCACTCCCTGACACCGTCATACAGACCACGGATAGCATCATTGTCTCACACCCTAGTGAACGTACAACAAGCTGAGGCATTGTAAGCAGTCAGTTAGATTCTGGGAGATGAAACCCTGGGTGTATGATTCTAACAGGCTGCTCAGGAGAAGCAGCGGTGCAAATGCTTGCCAGGCTCCCTTTGGGACCCACGGAAGTCTACCTTTGCTGTTTAAGAGCAGCCTCCCTCCTCCTCTGCCCCGCACTGCAGGGCCAGTGCATATGTGCACACAGGTCCTCAGGCCACACTGTGCAGGCTGATGACCGGTGATACCCCAGGAACACAACTGAACAAAGAATGGTGAGGTCATTCCCTCCAAAGCAAGATGCTAAACCAAGACCTCAGCCATCTGAAGCCATTCGTCATGCCTAATCCCTAGCAACAGGAAGAGGCATCAGCTGGAGGGTTTAGACCAAATTCCATGTTGGATGCTGCTGGTATCCTAACTAGCCCTAGGGGGACCCCTCCGTTCCCCACACTTTTCTTCGGCTGCACTGGGAAGCGATCAACATCCTCATGTTATTTTCAAGTTGGTTCCTTTCACTGTGAAAAAGAGTCTGGAAGAAATGTCTGCCTAGATTCCTGGGCATGGGACAAAACGTGGCCAATTGTTCTCCTCCCATGACTGCCATGCGCCACATGTAAAATGTCCATGGCATGAACAGTGAGAGGAACACAAGAGACAACCATTATGCCTTTACTTAGAACCTGCTTGTCTTGTCACTCTTGGCCTGATCCTCAGGGGCAGGTGGGAGACATTCTTTATGTACCTACTGTATACCTCTCCTGAGCATATCCCCATAAGCCACTTGTGAGGTTTTGACTAAGTAAAGATGCACAATTCAGTAAGCTTGATCATGGAGAGGGCATTCTGAGGACCAAAGAACTTTCCCGAATACAACTAGAGCAAACCCTGTCCTGTGTGGTGACAAGAGTGAATGTAGGGGCACCTGGTATAAAGTCCAATTGGCTCTCAAAAGCCAGTACTTTGTGTGCACACTTCAACTCTCGGGGAACCAGAATGCAGGTCTCAAACCAAGGGGATATCCCATCTCTTGTCAATCTCATCTCATCCCATCTCTTGTCAATAGCATTAAATCCAGTGGCATCTCAGTCTCTGGCCAGAATCCAGCATCCTTCACTCAGCTAACCCGCTGCTAAGGCTGGTTACCTCTGCAAGCCCATCTGTAGCTCTGTTTTCTGAGACAGTAACATTTTTCCATTTTGACTGTATGATTGGAGAAAGGAAGGAAGAGGAATGTTTTGAGATCCATGCTAGAGAATCATACTTGTATGTTGACATAGTGTTCAGAGGAGATGGACCGAGCCAGGCATTCACTCTCACAAAGCAGCCAGGACACTGGGGTATATGATGCTTGGGTCAGGGAGGTAAGAAGGCTGGCTCCCCTTTCAGCCCCACCCCCAAGAGCTCCCATCTAGTGACACAGGTATGAACAGCATGGTATGGAAGGCTCTCCCACCAGGCCCTCCTTTTGTTCTGTTCTGAGTTCATCAAAGAAACGGTGACTGGACCATTGGGAGGGAAGAGGCAGCCTGGGCCTTACTTGAATTCTGATTAGTGTGAGTTAAGCCAGCTGGGCTGGAGAACAAGGCTCTGCCACAGAAGTCCGAGACATCAGATCTCTCACCTACAGCAGCAGTGGATCTGGTGGGATGGCATCTCCTGCAGATGTCTTGGAAGAGGGGCTTTGTGTTTGTAATCTCTGAGCAAGCTTTCTGAGATGGGAGAATGCTCCAGAGATAAGCTGTTTGTGCTGTGGATTTTTTTTTCTTTTTGCTAGGAGCCTGTAAGAGTGTTACTGCCTGGGGACATAGAGATGTGTTGAATGGCATAGTGGCCTGGGTACTTGGCAATCAAATTTAATAACAGGTATCAGAAGTGCCTGAGGCCAGCTTCCATCTACAAATGGTTACAAGATCCCAAGTGGCCTCTTGGAATTAGTGTCCTATGCCCAACAGCTCCATGCTGTAAGGATAGGATAGAATGAATGCTTACAATAAACCTTGCAGACACTACTCATTTGGCTTTGGGAAAAAATATTTTCTTTAAAAAATTAAAATTACATTTATTTATTCATGTATGTATGTATGTATGTATGTATGTATGTATGTATGTATGTGGGAGTGTCATGCCATAATATATGTGTGGAAGTCTAAGGACAGTTTGGTTTTCTTTTACCATGTGGGTCCTGAGTATTGAACGCAGGTGTTAGCTTTGGCAGCCAGCCAGGCCTGAGTCATTTTATGTCTCTTTCTGCTCTTGTTTGGTTCTCTTGCTCAGCAAAGTAATGCAGTTTTTCATAGAGAGGAAAATCACCCATTTCTTCAGTGCTCTGTCATGTGGGAATGGCTAGGACACTGAAGGGTGTAAGATGAAAACTAGGAATCCAGAGTTTAAATCTCTGTAATAGTGGAGAAAACTTCTATCTAATAGAGCAATACAGGAGATGCCTTAAACGATCAAATATCCATTGCAACCCAACCCAGCATCTCTTCATCTGTGTCCATAATGCCAGCTAAAGAATCCACAGACTAGGATGGTGTGAAAGGTGTTTGGGTGGTCCAAGAGTTCCCATGAAGTCCCTTGTATGTGTGGAGCTACTCTAAGCTAGTTGTGGGGACAGCAGGTTTTGTGAGCATGCACTGGAGTTGAGTGTCCAAGGCACTGATCTTAACATGTGCATCTTGAAGGCGCAGAGGCTTGGTGCTTCTGTGGGAACACAGTACATGAATGTGTGGCTGAGTGTCTGTGATGGGTGTGTGTGTGGTTTGTGTGTCTGTAATATTGTATGTGTCTCTCTGTGTTCTCAATTATCTAGCAGAGCACCCTTAACTGCTTCTCCCAATGACTCTCAAGGCTCCTGAATAATCTCCATGTGTGATAACCCACACCCAAGCCAACAATTCATTTCCTCACTCATTTCCCCTTCAAAAGCAGTATCTTTCTGGGTGTCCAGATGGAACTCTGTCTCTTCTACTAATATGGTGGACAGCAGCACTACTCTGATTCTGGAACAATCTCCAGTCCCACGTGATTCTTGACTCTTCTCACTTGAAGAAGCCATGAATGGTCAAGTTAGTGACGTGGAAAAACGGGTGGTAAGCTGGGCAGGAGAGATGCTGAAGTGGGTCTGGTATACCAGAAGGTGCTCTGTGCCAGCTTCCGAAGTGTTACTCAGGGCAGGAGAGAACCCGGCCACATTTCCAATGGCAGCTCCTGGAGACTCTGGTGGTTTTAAACGTTCAAAGGGATGTTGGACAGACACGTTGGATCCCAAAGGTCAACTGCTGTGCCCCTGCTGATCAAGCAGGCTGCAACTTTCACAGCTCCATAAAGTAACTGGTGATGTGGGCACACTCAAGGACTCTAAGGAACTCTGTCTCCTGATAGCCCCAGAAGGGGAAAAGGGAGTGTTCCCTTCTCTAGGACTGATCATGTTGACCTTGACTCTGATTACCTTAAAGTACTTGTCCAGAATTTCACTGTAGTTGCTGCCTTTGGAGAACCAGCCATCTGGAATGATCTCAGCTTCCAGCCACTGGATGATGCGACGCCGGAGCTCATCGCGGTTAGCTTGATAGCAGACAACTGCGGAGTAGAGGGTGGGGGATATGTGAGGTGGGTGTGAGGAAGAGAATCCCAGGGTCATCCACTGTCCAGAGCCCAGTTATGAAGTAGCAACAAAATTAATTTTATGATTGGGGGTCACCACAACATGAGGAGCTGTATTAAAGGGACACAGAATTAGGAAGGTTAAGAACCCCTGGACTAGAAAGTTGAAAGAGTGGTCAAACAGAGGAGTTGTTATTTAAGAAAAAAATGAGGAAGAAAAAAAGAAGGATGTTTTCATGAATGTTAGGGAGCAAGGAAGAAAAGAATCATCTACTAAAGCAATTCTCCTGGTTCTGAGATAAGCTTAAAGAACTAACAAATCAATAAATGAAAACATTAGTTATTCATGCTGTTGGATTGCTGGGGTTCTCCTTTTCTCACCAACCGAGCCTTCCAAAACTCTCTCTCCCATCATTATTATAAACAACAGAAAACAAGGCAAGGAAAGGGCCATGCCTCAGCCCTGCTCTGGGCAGCTGTTGCAAGCCATGTGGGAACAAGTGGGAGTCATGTGGGTAGGGAAGCTGGGGGAGACAGCTCTGGCCAAAGGAGATTCCTGGAAGACAATATGCCAGGACACGAGGAGGTGCAGGGCAGGACCAGGCAATGAACATGTGGGCATTTCCCACTCCGTCCTTCCTAACTGGTTTAGGGGAACTGACTCAATCCTATGAGCCTTTATACTCTGAAGTAATTACAGTAAGACCTGCAAGGTTACTGTGAGGTCCGGGCCTATAAACCATGTTGAGATTTTAATATGTTTTTAATAGTAAGCTACGGCAGTCACCACACTGGCATTTCCAACTGTCTTCTGACAAAGAGGCGTGTCTCCTGATTTTACTGGGTCCATGACATAAGCATGTCTTACAAGACCCTGAAAGAAGGTGTCCCTGGCTGTCCCTATAGGACATTTACCACTCAGCAAAAATGCAGAAGAGCCAACATTTAGACCCAAACAGCTGCTTTGACCGGCAGACACCAAAACAAACATTTTTATAATTCAGTCTCGTGGTTTTACTGAGCTGTATTGCCCTCAGACCAGATCTGGATCAAAAGTCCTGACCCCACAGGATCCTGGCAGCTCAGCAGGGACTGTGAAAGACAAGATGCTTCCTCCATGATAAGTCTCCTTCCTAAGATGCACACACACTGCAGAAAGGCCAGGTACTTACTTGGGCTGGCAGACGGACTCACAGACTTCTTTTCTGCAAGACAATAGGAGATGTCAAGTGAAGAGTAAAAGAAAATGCCGATGGTTTTAGGATGAAAATTGTGAAATCTTGCAACCTTGTCATCATTTTGCCTTAAACTCTTCTTCTTTAAATTAAGATTTGTTTATTTTTATGTTATATGTATGGGTATTTTGCTTGCATGTATGCCTATGCACTATTGTGCATGCCTGGTACCTGCAAGTCAGAAGAGGGCCTCAGGTCCCCCGGTACTGGAGTTACAGATGGCTGCTAGCTGCTATGTGAGTATTGGGAACTGAATGAACCCAGGTCCTCCGGAAGAGCAGCCAGAGCTCTTGACCACTGAGCCCTCTCCCCAGCCCTCTGCCTTCAATCCTTATGTCCTTTTTTCTTGTAGGGTCTAAGCATGGTGAGATCCTTCCTGCTTGTGGACAATGGATCACCCTTCTAGATTTATATTCCTTCCTGCTGGGTTGAGCAGTCCCTGGAATTTCAAAACTTCATATAGAGATTACTTCTGCACAAGGGACAGAGAGGAGACTGGTGTCAGGGAAAGGCAAAGATGGAATGGCTGCCCAGGCTCTAGACTTGGAAAGGTCTGGTGACTAGAATCATGCTTGGGAGTCCATCTTTCCAAGTGATCACAATGACAAGAGTGACAATAAAGGAAGTATATTACTAGGCTGAGAAATGACCAAATTTTAAAATCAGGAAAAGGAGAAATAGACCTCCTTTTTCTAAAAGGTGTGGATATCCTTTAAGGGCCTTTTTACCATTGCTGATTATTGATGCAGGCAGCTTATTTACTCTCCAGCTGCAGGTGATGCTGAGAGCAGGCTCAAGTCTGATTCAGGGAACACAGGGCAAAGTCAGCCAGACCAAACCTAGCAGGCTTCTGAATGTTAGGACGGAGCATCTCCAAATGGTTACGTGGTCAGCCAGGCCACCCTGCTACGGTTTCTGTTTGTCTCCCTGTCACAAGACCTGCCTTCAGCGACGACAGCATGCCTTACCTTTGCAGTGTCCATCATAATCAACCTGGATCTTGGACCCAGTGAGGCAGGCATCTCTATGAAGTTCACAATGGTTGATATAGGTCTTGCCATTACTGCCGCACACAGGCCTCTTGTGAGGTTTGCATTGCTGAAACAGATGGTCAGGAGAATGTTTGTGCAGCCGTGCAGGCTAGAACATGCCCTTACAGCCATCTTGTCGGACGACTCACCACCAACAGAGATGGAGCATGTATATCACCAGGGCTCAGGGAAGCCTGCTTTGGTCATCATCAATGACTCTACTGCACTTGGTATAGAAGTTCTACTTCGAGTTCTCCACGCTCCTCTGTTTATCATGGTCCAGTGCCAACTTTAGAGTACACAAACCCCTCCCATGGCTGAAATATTTGTATTCCATGTATCCCCAGTGAAATAGCACAAAGAGGCTATGTTTTCAGGAGATGATGAAGTCACCAGGGATCCTCCTCATGAATGGAATTAAGGCCTTTACAGAAGGGGCTTCCCACAGCATTTGGCCTATTGGCCCTTGTATCGTTTGCCATGTGAGAACACCATGTTTGAGGGTTCCTTTGCAAGCAGGGACCAGGCCCTCGCCAGACATGAATTTGTTTTGATCTTGCATGTCACAGCCTCCAACACTGTAAGAAGTATACTTCTGTGGTTTAGAAAGAGCCCAGCTTGGGCATTTTGTTAGGGAAACAGAAATAGACAAATCCCACTATCCGTGACACAAAAGAGTTAGAGCTGAGAAGTGGGGGCATGGAATCTCAATGCACCGACACACACACACACACACACACACACACACACACACACACCAATTCTTCAAGGACCAAATGACAAGGATTTCATGTTCTCTGTAGCATTTGGGAGCCATGCAGCTTTTGTTCTAATTTCACAACTACTGTTGTAAGGCTGACAGTGAGTGTGAAAGATGACAGGAAATCATTAAGGACAGAGATATGGAATAAAGTTCATCTGGTTTGCAAGCAGGCTAGGACTACTAGAGGTAAGAAGACAAAAGACAGATGTTAACCAGAGTCCAACCCCTCCATTTTATACACCAAGATACCCAAGGCAAGAAAGTGAATGAACTTCATTTAATCACTCAGCCAACATTTACTATGAAGTGCTTGGTATGCTTTGGGTGCTGAACAAAACCAATATGGGCTCATCTTTACAGCGACTCCTAGGAAATTGCTTGCTCAAAATCACACAATTATCTGTGGACAAGCTGAGACTATTTCCAGAGGCTAATTCATGCTACCACATGGTGGTCTGTATCCTTCCAGCACAGACTGCCAGGGTGAAGGGATCCCAGTGGGATCAGGTTTCAGGTTTCAGGTTGGTACATTTTGCCTTCAGATGCAATGATTCAGGGTCTGGAGACTCTAAGAGTATTATTGCCGGGTGGTGGTGGCGCACGCCTTTAATCCCAGCACTCGGGAGACAGAGGCAGGAGGATCTCTGTGAGTTCGAGGCCAGGCTGGACCGACAGCCTCCAAAACAATACAGAGAAACCCTGTCTCGTAAAACCAAAAAAAAAAAAAAAAGTATCATTTACAGAAAAGCCCATTTCCAGGGTAAAGAGCAGCTTTATAGAAGGGAAAAAAAGAAGAAAAGCCTATAGCTAGGGTTACTTACATTCACATGCAGAATGAAAATTTATTGAAGTCCTGCCTATTTCCTAACGGCTCATTTTGCCTTTCAAATGCCATTTAAAGACAAAACTTCAAAGCCCACATTCTGCCTGATGATTTAAAAATTTGCATATCCTTTGACCCAGAAGGCCCCCAGTGGCCATCAATTATGAGAAATAAAGAATATTGGCAAAAGGATGCTATTTCTGTGGTGGTAAACAACCCAGAGAACCAGTTAAATATCCATCTCTAAGGAAACGAATGAATAAATTTACATCACTAAATATTATTCGGCTGTTTAAAAAATGTTAAAGTCTGTGTCAGTCTGGAAGGCTGCTACACACACTAAAGATTGCAAAATACAGACTGCACAGACCTATGTGTGGAAATAGTATTTTAAAATTTAGTATTTATAAAATAGGGGAAACTCTGGTGTTTGGGAAAATTATTAATGCCAGTTGCCTTAGACTAATGAAAACTGAGAATTCTTTGGTAGTACAAATCGACACTGTTTGACACATAAAATAATTGGTAATGTTTTAAGTTAAATTTTTAAAATTTAATGCCATACTTAATTTCATGTATAGCAATACAGTTTACATATAAAATAACACTAGAATGGGTGGCTTGGTAGAATTTTAAACCGAAGGAAAAAGGAACAATTTTTACTCTTTCAGAGCCTCTCCTCAGATTTTTTTTTAAGTCACTTTTTCAAAGTAGGTCAATGTGACAAATATACTCGTGACCAGGCGTGGCTCGTTCCTGTTACACCAGTGGAATTAGAAAGAGAGCTCAGCTTTCCCAACCACTCCCTCCAAGGACTGCTAAGCAGTTCTTGCTACTTCAGAAAGTTGAGCTCAAACATCCAGCATTAAAAAAACAAACAAACAAACAAACCCAAACCTCTAAAGACAAAAACTCCGACAGATTTGAAGCTAGACACACATTTTCATGTATGTTCTTTTTCATGACTCATGTGTCCCTTTGTCTACATTCCACGCTTGGTCACCTATTACGGAGGTCTAACACCGACTACACTCCCAATCTCACTGTTACCCTTTAGACCACACCCACCCAAATACATTGTATAGTAGTCTAGAATCCACATAAGAAAGAACCTGCATTTCGTCTTTCTTTCTGAGTTCGAGTCACCCCACTTAATATCATACTTACCAGGTCCATCTATGGTCCTATAAATGCCATTTTTCATTATAGCTGAATAATATTTCATTGTGTATATGGAGCACATTTCATCATCTGTTCATTTGCTTGTGGACATCTACACTGGGTCAATATCCTTGCTATTGTATGAATGTGTGTGTGTGTGTGTGTGTGTGTGTGTGCACGAGCGCGCGCGTGCGCTCGTGTGTGTGCACATATGTATAATGGCCAGAGGTCTATATTTGGTACTATCCTTGGTTGTTCTCTCTCTAATTTTCTGAGATAGAGTTCTCACTACACCTGGAGCTCATGAAATGGCTGGTTAATGAACTCCATGGATTTGCTCCTCTCCTGCCATGCTGGGGTCACACACTCTTGCTGCCATACCAGACATCTGTGTGAGTCCTGAGGCTCTGAATACAGCAAGCATGTTTCCTACTGAGCTAGCTCTCTAGCCTCCCTAAATATTTTTTAAATAAATGAAAAGCTATCTCTTTTAAAATTTAATTTAAAAATCAGGAATTTCACTCTTAACCCTAGGGGAAACCTTGCATGTGTCTTTGGGGGTAGACCAGCTGTGCATTTATAGAAATGACGGGATCCCCGGAACTTTCTGCAGTCGCTGCCCACCACACCCGCCATCAGGACCTACCTCAATGCAGAGGCATGTGGGCTCTCCCTTCTCTGTGACCGCACACTCCCGGCCAGCTCCACAAAACACATTGGCGCAGATCTTGGATTTGCTCCTTGGTTCTTCCTAAAACAAAAACCACAAAGGAAGCCACGTTACTGAGACGAACCACCACAGGATGATACAACAGTGGCGATGACCTCTCAGGCTTGGGACTTTGGTCTGCCTAAAGGTGTCTTCCAATATGGGCATCAAACTCACAGGCACTGTTCTGGCTCAGGGTTGGGAACCCCAGATTGTTCCCCTAAGAGCAAAGCAAGAAAGGCTTTCCTGCATTCTTCCTTATTAAAAAAATGCACTGAGCATTTGTGTTAAAGCTAGCACTATGCTAAGGGCTGAGATTCAAAGGGCAGTCTTCGGCCTCATGAACTCTGGCTCCAGGGAGGAAGTATTTAGAAGGCATATATGGCCGTGCAACACTGGGCGCTCCAGGCAGCAGGTTTGTACGAGGGAATCAGGTGAGGCTCTCTGAAGGTTCCACGCCTTTAACTGATTCTTCAAGGTTGAGAAGACTAAGCCAGGAAGAAGTGCAAACACGGGAGACACATCCGGACATGGTAACACCGAGAGGTGTTCACAGCAAAACCATCTCAAAGGGCAGGAGAAGAATGGCTGAAACACGGATATGCTATTGTTTGATATTCAGCCACTGTGTGCGCCTAGGCTCCAACAAGAGGAAGAGGACCAACCCGCCCCAAAGAGAGAAGAATGGCCTGCGAGCCTCTTGCTGGTCAGGATTCCTGCGCAGACAGATCTAACAGAACTGCAAGGAAATGAAGGTCTGTATGCCGCATGAAAACGTGGGCTCTGTTGGTAGCATGTTCTTTAATCCCTCTCACTGGCGGTAGTGGGCCAGCCCCACGGCTCTCACCACTCAGCCCTGCAGTAGTGGTGGATAAACAGAGAACAGGATTCCTCCAGGCCCTGCCCTCATCTAGGCTGAGCAGGCTGGGGCGCTCCAAGTTTCCAGGCCTAAGCCTCCAGGGCTAGAGCTGGCTATAAAACAACCAAGACGGAAGAAGCCTAGGAATGAAGGGGATAACAGCAATGTTCATGCTTCTAGCCCATGCCTACCATGTCATCTAAAGAACTCATACCCACAATAACAGGTGTGTCTTAAACGGGGAGCCAAGGACAGGTCAAAACCAAACCAACAACAAAAAAACCAAAACAATAACAACAAAAAAAAGTTGAGGCTTGAGATCCTTGAGACGGGTCCAAAATAGCTGCTCTGCTGCCACCTGGAGGCTACTTTGCAAACTTCAGGTTTTCCTTTTCTCCCACAAGCCAGTTTGCCCGCCATGCAGGGCTCTCATTGGTCCAGAACTCATTTGCATTTTCACATTCTAATAGGTTTACATGGTGTTGCTAAACCATTTCCCCCCCCCTTAAATGTTGCTAAGGAGAATTAAAAAACGCCAGCAGACAGTGAAGCAAAGAAGGGGTAATTCTCAGAAGGTTGGAGGAATGGATTTAGATCTCTGTTTCGTAAAGGGAGGTGGGCGTGGGGTGGGGTGGGGGCTCTCCAGACAGACAGGGCCCTCCCTCTTGTGGGAGCTGTGCCTCAGAGATAAAGCAAAGCTAGAAGGGAAGAGAAAAGGCAATTGCTGATTGTTGTAAATAACACGGGTGGCCTCTTCCCTTCCCTGAACACTTCTACCCGTGGGTCCATCAAATGAGCAAGAGACACATAAGTGAGCCTGTGCACATGTCTGCTCTGGAAAGGTCCCCTGTGTGTCCCTAATCAGTCCTTCGGATTCTTCAAGCCATGTATTTCCTCATCTGTGAAACAAGAGTAAATAGATAGTCCAAAAAAGTGTGATCAATAACTTACAGGCTGCTTGTAGAAGAACCCGCAGTGTTCAGAGTGTGCGAGCTTAGTATGTACTTACTCGTGTGGGAGACGGATGCCTGTGGCAGGGTATGTGTGGAAGTCAGAGAACCTGTGGGAGTGGAACCTCTCTTCTCATCAGGTGAGTTCCAGGGATGGAACTCAGGATATCAGGCTTGGCTGCAAGTGCGTTTACCCACTAAGCTGTCTCACACCAACCCTTTCTAGTAAACCTACAAATAAAAGCTATTCTGTGGCCGTTGAATTAAACTCAAGTCATTTGCAGAAAGTAGTAGTTCTCAAAAATATGTTAGGAGAAGCACACCTTTTTATTACACCCTAACAGCTAATGTTTGGAGAGTGCAATTAAAACTTGCAAAATGTTTCCATACACACAATGTCACCTTACTGCATGGCTAACACAGTAAGAACATGTATATTATTATTAGCCCCATTTTACAAATGAGAAAATTGAGGCTCCAAAAGTCAAATGATTTGCTTAAGGTTCCCCCCCCACCACCGCCAAAAAAAAAAAGCCTTTATTCAGTTCACAGGTGATTAAGCACCCATTCATAAACACCAGGCATCCTGCAAGATGACCTACTACTTACCTACGTTTAAGTCCCTAATTCTGATGCTATACTATCCCCATCTTTCAGGTGAGGAAGCTGATGTTAGAGGCCAAGTACAAAAAGTGACAGAGTTGGATCTTCCTCCAACCACAGGGAAACAATTCTTCTATATTTGGTTTATTTTTAAACCCATGTGACTTATTGTTAGGGAAGTTGTAGTGGGGTTATGGGTGATACAATAGGAGGTGTAAGGAGGCACTACAGAACTTAGACATCCAGATCTGATACCCGACTCTCATATCCAACCCTCTTCTATATCTGCCTCAGTCATGCTCATGTGCAAGGCATCTGCCTGGGAATCCAGCATGGGACTGATCAAGACCCCCTGAATGTGGGTGTCAGTGAGGAGGCCTAGGTAATCTATTGAGCCTTGGGCAGTAGATCAGTACCCATCCAGAGTATATACACGGACTTTGGACTCCCATCCAACAATGTGAGATGCACTCTCACCCTGAACTCTTGGGGGAGGGTCTAGGCCCTGCCCTGGATGAAATGACAGACTATGGACACCCCCATGGAGGGCCTCACTCTCCTTGGAGAAATGAGGGGATAATGGGGGGTTGGGGGAGGGCACGGGAGAAGGGGAGGGAAAGGGAGAGGGACCTGAAACTGACTTGTGAAGCAACCTTGTTTTTAATCTAAATTTAAACTTAAAAATAAATAAAAAAATAACTCTTGCCTTTAAAAAAAACCTGATTTCTCAGGTGCAAATATGAAATACTGATGGTTAGAATTGTGCTGAGAATTAAATGGGACATGCTGTGTGCTATACAACAGGAAGCGGCTGTCACTACAGTGGGTGGTTTATTTCCACTTTTCTCTCTGAAGTGCTGTCACTGTCACCTTGGACTGTCGAATCCCCATTCTTCCCTGTCCTTTACAGTGGAAAGGTACCACTGAGAGCAAGACAGACAGGATGGAAAATGTAAAGGGCCCAGCAATCCCTGGAGGGCCTTTCACAGAGCCCCGAGATGGGGGAGCTGCTGGTTATACAAGCATTCTCTTTGCAGGTGACATGTCTGTCAATAGGTGGCAATCTCTCTCTTTGTCTCACAGAGCCCAGAGCCGCAATGCAGAGGAGCCTTCCTGGCTGCTGCTACCCAGCTGTGTCCTCCAGTGAGAAGTGCAGGAGTGAGGGACAAGAGGATGGACACAGTGACGGGGCAGAGGAATCCAGTCTGTTGAGGCTGTCTATCCTGAGGCGCTCATGCCCTTCCTCCCCTCACTCACTGGCATGCTTAACTGCAGAAATCAAGGTCAACAATGAAGGACATTTTCTCTAGAAGCTTTGTCTCTTTGGGCCATTCATCTTTGGGAGCCAAAGTGTCAGAGCCAATCCCAAGGCCCCTGGAAAGTTCCTGGGGGCATAGGTAAGTTTCTGCGGAGTGGCTTATTCTGGATCGAAAAGTCTGTGGCAATAACCTAGTCAGGGGTCGCAAAGGTCTGACGCCAGGTACAGGGATGACTGTTTATCCTGGAGGGGCACTGCTTGCTGGCTTGCTCCTCATGGCTTGCTCAGCCTGCTTTCTTACAGAACCCAGGGCCACTAGCCCAGGGATGGCACCACGCACAAGGAGCTCCCATCAATCACTAAGCAAGAAAATGCCCTACAGCTTGCCTCCAGCCTGATCTACGGTTTCTTAAAGAGGTTCCCTCCTCTCAGATGACCTCAACTTGTGACAAGTTGACATGAACTAGTACAGCCTCCAAATGGAAGCCATCAAAGTTCCAGTTTGGTCCTTTCTCTTCTGCCTTGTCTCCATGGTGTTTTCTGGACGCCCCTGGCAAGCTAGACTATGCAGAGTTAGTCTCATGGCTAATTTTCACAACTGGTGGTGGCCCGTGCTCTTAATCCTAGCACTTGGGAGGCAGAGGCAGGTGGATCTCTGTGAGTTCGAGACCAACCTGGAATACAAGAGCTAGTTCCAGGACAGATTCCAAAGCACAGGGAAACCCTGTCTTGAAAAAAAAGAACACGTAACTGTGAATACAAAATGGCCCAGGGTTCTGGGAGGGACCTGGCAAGTAAAAGCACTGAAATATATGCTTAGTTATCGTGCAGGGCAATCCAACTCTCTCCACTCGCTTCACTGTTTCCTTCTTAAAGAAGACCATTCTAACAATGTTTTGGGACCTTAGTCAGTCTGCCAGAGCCCTGCAGAATAGCCTGTGCACACATGGCTTATCTCAAGCAAGCACTAAATGGCTTGCATACTTTGGCTTCCCACAGACCACTCTCAGGGAACAGTTTTTACATTAAATGGCATTTGGGAATACAAAGTTTCAATTACACAAGCCGAGAAGTTTCTGCAGACTATGTTTTTTTTTTAATTTAAACTATACTATAATGACTGTTTTTAATTTGCCAAGAAAAGGGACCTTAAATCTTCCCAGGGCATGCACAAAATAGTAACTGCTTCTTAGAGGTAACAGTTGTGTTAATTAGCTTGATTGTATGTGAATATAAACACATTGGGCTGGAAAGATGGTTCGGCCGCCGAAGGCTAGGCTCACAAGTAAAAATACAGATGTAAAAACCATCAAGTTGTTTACCTCAAATACATAAAATCTTTGTATACCAGTCAAAGTTTAGAACACTTATC